ACACACACAGAGAGAGAGAGAGAGAGAGAGAGAGAGAGAGAGAGAGAGAGAGAGAGAGAGAGAGAGAGAGAGAGAGAGAGAGAGAGAGAGAGAGAGAGGATTGTTGTCGACATTCTCCTGGACATAGATGGTCTCCTGCTTGTGGGACGCTTTGCTGATTTCCATCCAGACAGATGAGACGGGCGCCACAATGACTCCGACTTTGACAAGCATTTCCACCAGACAGAAAGACCTTGTCGAATGACTGCAACACCTCAACAAGGTCGTGTAACGAATTCTTTGGAATGACTGTTTTATCTTCATACTTCAATGGAAAATGCTTTGATGGAATCACCAGGTGTCTGTCTCCTTTCATTTGCTGTGTGGTGGCTTCTCTCTCCGGCAAATTGGATCAGGAATTTGGATTTTCGGACCAGTCTGTTAGCAGTGTGCACTTGTAGTTGCATTTAGTTATGCTTACGGAGATCGCTGTAAGGGCAGCAGACAGTGCTCCTCGATGATGACTCCCACAGGGAAGCGTCATAGGAAGAGGGAAAGGGAGAGGGTGTTGAAAGGACAACAGGAGGTCAAGAAGAAATGCCCGTTGGACAGACAGAGGCGGAAGAAAGCAAAAGTGTCGTCGTCATCGAGGCAACAAAGTCTGAAGAACGTGTCAGGAACACGACTCCGACACTTGCGTTTTCAAAAGCTTTCGTGCTCTCGCTGGCATTGGCAAGCCAAGGGGAGGAGCCCTACTGCCTGTTCAGGAGGGGAGATCGTGCGCGGGGAGGAACGCAGATCAACCAGGGAAGGAGAGCTCTCGAAGGAAGCTGGAGCCGTCAGTGGATTGGAGATGGCAGTTGCAAGACCCCTCTGTGTGTCTTTCCTCACCAGAGGAACGTGTGCATCGGGATGTCTTTGTGCCTTCTCCCATTACGTTGGCAGTGCACCTCATTCTGGCATGGGCAGCACATCTGTTGAGAGGGGCAGGGGCGGAGGAGGAGGATCGGGAGGGGAAGGTAGGAATATGATAGGAGGAGGAAGTGGAGGTGGTAATATGTTCCAGTCGGAAAGTCATTATCGCTTATCATCAGTGGTGGTTCTTCCATCCTCTGATGGTCGCAGTGCAAGCGAGGGAGGAGGAGGGGAGGCGCAATTGGGAAGTATGCAAGAAGGAGGGGAGGGGCAGTGGCGAGGAGGAAGTGCCACACATCATCAGGGCCATGTGACTCCGTTGGGAGATGTGTGTGGTAATCGAAATGAATGGCCAGAGGGTGTAGTAAAATTGGCAATCATGTTACTCGTGAAAGGAGGACTCAGATGGACATGGCGAGGGGATCAGGGAACGGGAACAACAGGATCGTTACCAATCAGACGGCTGTGATCAATGGGAATTGGGTGAGCAGTATGGGAGATGCTGGGGGAGGTGATGGATATGGGAGGTGGGGTGATGGGGGGGGGAGTGCGGCTACCAACAGATGTGGGCAGGAAACGGGTGTCCCAAATCGTGGAGGGCAGATAAGTGGCAGCTCTGGTCTTGCAGTGTCATCTCCGAAAAGAACAACGGAGTACTCAAGCGGGCAGTCTTTACCCCCTGTGGAGTCTGGATATGAAAGGCAAAGGTATGAGCCACCTTCAGGGATTAGGTATGGTGGAGGAAGCAACCCATCAACAAATGGACATGAGAGTGGAAACACGGAGTCAGTAAGCGGTGGATTGCTTGGACAAGGACTGCCGCGATACATGTCGTTTGATAGATCAACCGTGAGCCACAGCAGTGATCGGAGAGTCGGTGGCACTGGGGGCGATGGATATGGTTGGGTGGGAAACAATGGTGGTGCTGCCGGGCCAGCAGGTGTGGTGGGGGCAAATACGGCTATCTGCGGTGGAAGCTGCCCCGCTCAGTCCAGCGGTTGGTACAATGGTAGAGAGGCAGGCCGGGGTGGTGCAGAAGGGCATTGGGCAGGAGGAAGACATGGAGGCTGGGGAGGGGGAGGGGAGGGGGAAGGACGATGGGTGGGACGTGGTGGAGCCTGGGGGGGAGGAGGAGGAGGAAGATACTGGGGAAAAGGAAGCAGAGGCTGGAGGGACAATTCACAGGGCTTGCAGGAGTTGCAGGAGAGGACCTGGTCATATCGACATAGCTTTGTTCCGCCTTTGAAGTCTCAGAATGATGTGGCAGACATTTCCCTGTTTGCTGAACGAGGGGATTCATTTGTGTTCATGTCTTATAATATTCTTGCTGGATCGTTAGCCGAGGAACACTCGCGTGAGTTGTATTCTCGCGTTCATCCTGACTTCTTGGCGTGGCCGAACAGAAGGAAGAACATTTTAAAAGAGATGGTGTTTGTTCAAGGTGATGTGGTCTGTCTTCAAGAGGTGGACAAATTTGATGAGCTAGAGAACGAGCTCGGGAAAATGGGTTATCAGGGGACGCATAGATCGAGGACAGGAAATCACTCCGACGGGTGCGCTGTCTTCTGGAAGACCAAAAAATTCAAGATGCAAAAGACGGAAGTGATAGAGTTCATAGAGCTGGGCCTCCGAGATAACGTAGCACAGCTAGCTGTGTTGGAAAGCATTGCAGGGAGAAGTGGAGGCAGGGGGAAGCACGAGAAGGCTAGTGTGGAGTACGTAGGAAATGAGGAAGATGATGAAGAGGGGGATGATTGCCTGCTGGTTACAGGGTTGAAAGTGTCAGCAAGAGATGTGAGGAGTGAAGATGACTTGTTAATCTGGAGTAAAGGTAGGAAGGAGGGCAGAGGTGGTGAGGAGCCACCGGAGCAGCAGCAGCGGCGGAGGAGGAGGAAAAGGAGGAAAAAGATAGTCGTTGTCGGGAACATTCATGTGTTGTTCAATCCTAAGAGAGGGGATGTCAAAATGGCACAGATTCGGACTCTAATTGAGCGGGCTCGTGAATTGGCATCCAGTTTTGGGAATGATGTCGATGTGGCAGTTGTTCTAGCTGGCGATTTTAACTGCAGTCCCGGCAGTCCTCTATACCAGTTCATATCAAATGCTGAGCTGGACTGCAGCACAGTCGATAGACGAGTGATGTCCAGAGTTACCCAGGGCATGCATGGTCCTAACACTGCGATGAATGCCAATTCCAGCGGGTGGCAGAACAGCGGCAGACGACATGGTCCTTGGTCTGGTGCTGGTGGACCCTATGCATATTCTACACCTTCCCTTCCTTCATCTGTCGCAGCAACCCTTCTGCAGCAGCGGAATGGTCCCGCGCTAGGGGGGGGAGAAAAGTTGGGCAAGACACTGGCCCCCCACTCTGGTCCGAATGTGAATAGGAAATCGGTTTTTCAGTCAGCATGGGGAGAGTTGGCGAAGACCGATGAGAGAGGGAGACAGCAAGATCGAACGACAGTGTGCCCTGACACTGTGATCGAGATTGAAGACAACCTCGGTGTGATCAGTCCGGTATCGAATGGGGAGAAGGACAACAAGAGTAAGGGTGATGATGGTGGTGGCGAAATGAACGCACAAAGTGTAGGTAAGGTAGAACCGCCGGTGGTTGGAGTATCTGATGATGACGATGACGACGATGACTGTGTGATTGCTGGGGAAAAGGAGAAGAAGGGAGAGGTCAACGGGGAAGGGAGCAAGGAGCCTCTGGTAAGTCAAACGGCGTCGGTTCTTCGAGGGAAGCCGTTGGTCTTAGTACTGAAAGATGATGCCACACCCAGAAAGATGGAAGAGAGTCTGGGAGAGAGAAAAGATGAAAGAAAAGAAGAGAGGAGAGACGACTTTGCCTATGAGTGGTGGGAAGCAGTTGTACGTAGGAAAGGTGATGCAAGAGGTGAAGGCGGTGGGGAGGGAATGGTGATGATGCGGGGACCGCCTTGTCCTTCAGGGCAAATGGAACGCCGATTGGGTTGGGAGGCTGACGATCTAAAGAGAGCTGTGGGAGTCTCGGGCGAGCATATTGCCAAGCATGGGCTGAGTCTAATCAGTGCGTATGCGGATGTGAAAGGTGTAGAGCCGCCATGTACATCGTACCATGAGAAATTCATGGGAACCGTCGACTACATCTGGCACACGCGCCATCTGGAAGCGGTTAGAGTTTTGGACACAGTACCACCAGGGGTTTTGAGGAGATTGCCGGGACTTCCTGCTGCCAATCAAGGCAGTGATCATATGGCTCTGGCTTGTGAGTTTGCCTTCATTGACCGGCTGGAATGGGAGGAGAACGAGGTAGAGGGGAGGGAGGGTTTTCCGAGAAGCCGGGGGTGGTGGCCGAAGATAGGCATTGTGTAAGATTGATGATACACTGTGAACATGCGTGATGACCTTCTCTTTTCTGGCTGATCATGGAGCGGGGCTGTCAAGGTCCTACCCAAGGTGGTCTCTGGTTTTGTGTTTTCCATCTAGTCAAGATTTACGGCCGTTTGCCCTACTACTGACCTTGGGCACAAAGATTCCTGAGTCCCTCGGTCCAAAGGTTCCCTTGTCGCCTTTAGACGGGCTTTTCTACTTTAGCACGGTTCTGGGCTCTCCCCATCTCATACACCTCCTGTACAGTGTGGTGACCCAGGTCACACCTGAGGTATATATGGTGTGAGAGAGAGAGAGAGAGAGAGAGAGAGAGAGAGAGACAGAGAGAGACAGAGAGAGACAGAGAGAGGAGGGGGGAGGAGGGGGGACACAGGGTTTGATACCCAGATCTGGCCCCCAGGATTTTCAAGTTTTCTTTAGTGTGTTTCTGATTTTGTCGCTGATGAGGTGCCAAACGACTCCGTCGATATAAGCTCTTGGGAGTCATCAGCCTGTCCGGCGTACCTCCAACCAATGCTTTTAAGCAAGACATTGAAAGATGTCATGATGCTCCTACTCTGATGGCAATCCCTTCAGGTTTTGAACCCAGGTTGGTATCTTACTGATCTTATTGGGCCAGTTAGGTTTCGTATATTACGCCGAAAAGGAGGGCATGCACAACATTCGACTCACTCACTTCAGTTTGTCACTTTTGGTTGGTTGTATACAAGAGAATGGGGTAAGAATGTTTGTCCGTCCATTGGTGAAGAGGAGAAGAATCGTGGCCATAGCTGCAGCGAAAGTGCAGCCATAGCTGCGAAGAGCATGGGCGGTACTGTACTGTTTTGTGGGGCTGTTTGTTGCATCTTGCTCTGGGCTGCTGGTTGCCCAGCGGGACATCACTTTGGTATGGTTCCGTCTTGATTTTAACCATGTTTGAATGAAATACCGGATTGTTGGAATACCACTCAAGCGTGCATGTATGTTTCCACGAAATGTGCGTTTGTTCTTTTCTTGGGTGATGTTCTTGCCTGTTGATTTTAGTCGTGTTTGAATGAATAACGGTTTGTGGGAATACCTTTAATGCATGCATTTCGATCTCGTGTGCTCGTCATGAATGGTGAGCAGGTCGAGGAAATTCCTGCATATCTTCTGTACATGCGCAGCCAGGTCAGGACTTTTCTGATGATTGAATCATATCTTAACTTCTTAAGATTCTTAACTAAGTGTGTGTTTGTTGTTTTCTTGGGTGATGTATTAAAATTTGGTCTTCTTTCTATTTGTCTCTCTCTCCTTCTCCATCCCTTTCTTCTAGTCTTTTTTTTTTTGTTGTTGTTGTTGTTTCCTATCACCCCAAAGCTTTCTTCCTCCTCCTCCCGTGGGCGGAAGTACCGCTTGTGTTGGCACATAGGTAGAATGCAGTTTGTGTGTCTGTCAGTGGCGGGAGAGAGACCATTGGCCAGGTTGTGGATGAAGCAGTCGATCGACCAATGGTGTTGGTTTCGTGGGTTTTCTTGCACAGACGAAGTTGGTGCAAGGAAGATGAGCAATAGCGAACTTCAGCAATCAAACAGCATCATACACATGAGACCAGATAGTCGAGACCTCGAACCAAAAGCAGAATTGCATCACGAGTTTCACCAAGTAGGAGGACAACAAAAGCTCATAATTGACAATGCTGGAATAGTCTCATCATCATCATCAACGAAGAACCAACGTTGATATCCTAACTGGCGCTCGGCGCCCAGACTACAGATGGCAGATCCTATCTAGCCTACTCTACAATGCTGCTGATGACGTTCAACAGCTCCCAGAAGTACGAGCAGATCTCGGCCAATGCCGCACGCTTCCAGCACCAGGTATGTCTCTCGTATCACTCACAACCTCGCTCCCCAACACACAGATGCCACTTGCACCCAAGGACCACCATGCGCCCCATCCAGCATACAGCAGCGCAGCTCGGCTATGGCTGCCTGCTCCTTCCAGCTCGCCCGTGAGCGCGTGAGCCTGGCAGGCGATAACGCAGCAGCGCTTGCGCACAAAGCAGCCAGTGCCCGAATGTCCAATGCGGAGGCAGGCCCTTTGCTATATGGAAGTGGCCTGCCTGCTGCTGCGCTGGGCCTTTCCCAAGAAGCTTCC